CTTTTAATTTAATAAATATTAAAATTCATGGCTAGTCAAAAAATTTTAGGATGTGGATGTGGATAGGAATTCGATGTTAAGACATCGCTGAAACTGGCATCGATGTATCGTCAATTTAGCGATTTTAAGAAATTGTAAACATCGAATTTTGAACCGATATTATCGATGTTTCAAAAATATCGATGCATCGTTTGCATCCCTACGTTTGTCGCCATAGCGTGTGGTCGTTTGAGGATTCGTAGTGGATATTTGGAATTGTTGCTGAAGAGTGATGGCAGTTAATTAATTATTTAGTGTTCGACGCATAATTAGTTTGATTTTAGAAAAGTTAAAGCTGCTGATTAAATCATGTAAATATAATACAGGCACTTCATTGTACACCTGAGTAGAGAGAGTGCGAGCTCAAATTTGTGGATTTATTTCGTGTGAGTTTTTTTTTCTGCGGCTGAAAATTTTTGATATAGAGTAGCGGTTGTTTCATATATAAAATGGCGGACGCCTCGGCGTCGCCGAGTGACGCCATTATGGCCGGCGTGTTTCGTGGACTAACGCCTGCTATGATGGGAAAATTTGCAATTAATTCTAAAAAGAAAAAAGAGAGTGGCAAACATAATGCAAATTCCTTGCTAGAAAATTTCTCTGATTTCTAGTGATGATATTAATTTTATGCAGGATGAGCCTGAAATTCCACTCAGTGGCATGCTTGTAAAACAAGGTACCTACAAGCTAGTTCAAACCAATACCAGTGAAAATGGTGACACTGTGTCAGGTACAGTTATGACTAGGGAACGGATTTTATGGAAATTGCCTTTTTTTCTGCTAAAGAGATAGAGTATATTCGATTAAGAATGTCCACGATTTAGCTTTCCCTGATTCCATATACACATTTGATGTTGCCTTTTTTAAGATATTAGCCTTTTTTGCCTTTTCTACCCTTAAAAAAGTGATTATAGCATTTACAATTCTTTTTTTTAAGATTAAAAAAATATACACATGCCCATGCGGCTTATAGAAGCGCAGGGACCTCTTGCCAAATTGGTGTTGGAAAAATTTAAAGCCGTTTTCTCAGCTTTACGTAGGCTTGGAGACAATAAGGGGTGTGGATAAAATTGTAAAGGGCGCCCTTATTCCTGATAATATGAACGTTTCAAACGTTCCATATTTAGATCGAAAATGAGTCCATATAGTTACACACAGAATGGTTCCTTACTTTTTCTGTGTCTCTTTATATATTTTTTCTATTGTAGTTATATCCCCAATGTGTAGATAAACTTTATAATATTTATTTATTTTGTTATTATTTTATTATATTTATATTTTCAATTAAATAGTCACACAATTGTACGCGTAAAATTTATAAACTACATGAGTTAAATTCTCTCAAAAAATGTATTTTTTTGAGAATGTATATGTATTATTTAGTACTTAAATGCAAACAATAAAGAAAAAAATAAAAATGAATAAAAATAAAATATTGGGCTCCACTTGTATCAACTTACGTCGAGCGCACATTTAGAACATTCAAGGCTTTTCTTCGCGAAAATCGAATGCTGCCAGAAAACTTCAAAATGCATCTTGTGGTTCAATGTTACTACAACTATACAGATTAAAGTTTTATGAGTTAGAAACTCGAAAGGATTAAATAGTCAAAGCAGTGGCGGATACACGGGAGGGTTTTGGGGGTTAAACCCCTTCCCCCCTCAAGTCAACGAATAATATTTCACTAATATGGGTCTAGAAAAAACACGAATTTTTAAAATCATATATTCAATTTTTCGCTTTATTTAAAAAACATTTTGATCATTTTAAACACATTAAATTTTTCTTTTTACTTATAAATCAATGAAACTATGATTTTCAAATTTTTCGCGGTTTTTTGAAAAATTCTTCTAGAACTTCGTCAACTGAAAAATTGAGCCTTTCTTGACATGTTGTATTTCTCAAGTAGGTTTTAATTCTTTGCAGGCATGAAAAGCTTCGTTCAGGTGTGGCTATTGAAACGGGCAAAAGTGCGTCGTCGGCTAAGCTCATTGCTTGTGCAAGATCTTCATCAGGTACTTGTAATTGCCGGCTAGCGAAGCAACAACAATTTATAAAAAAGCAAATGCTTGGCTGTTGCCGCTGTGCTAACAGTTTTTCAAACCCTGATAATTTCTATAGATATTCGCACGATACAAATAATTTTTACGGTATTTTCCCCGTGACAAATAAAAAGTTCTTGACAATTGGAAGAAATACAGCTTCGAAAGTCTTTTTTAAACGATTTTTCATTTTGCTACGTTAGAGCCGTTGCCGAGAAACTTATGGATACATATACATATACACAAAATTTGCTCGTTTAAGGTAATTAGAATAAGGGGCAAAATTTCCCGCAAACGCNAGAAAAAACACGAATTTTTAAAATCATATATTCAATTTTTCGCTTTATTTAAAAAACATTTTGATCATTTTAAACACATTAAATTTTTCTTTTTACTTATAAATCAATGAAACTATGATTTTCAAATTTTTCGCGGTTTTTTGAAAAATTCTTCTAGAACTTCGTCAACTGAAAAATTGAGCCTTTCTTGACATGTTGTATTTCTCAAGTAGGTTTTAATTCTTTGCAGGCATGAAAAGCTTCGTTCAGGTGTGGCTATTGAAACGGGCAAAAGTGCGTCGTCGGCTAAGCTCATTGCTTGTGCAAGATCTTCATCAGGTACTTGTAATTGCCGGCTAGCAAAGCAACAACAATTTATAAAAAAGCAAATGCTTGGCTGTTGCCGCTGTGCTAACAGTTTTTCAAACCCTGATAATTTCTATAGATATTCGCACGATACAAATAATTTTTACGGTATTTTCCCCGTGACAAATAAAAAGTTCTTGACAATTGGAAGAAATACAGCTTCGAAAGTCTTTTTTAAACGATTTTTCATTTTGCTACGTTAGAGCCGTTGCCGAGAAACTTATGGATACATATACATATACACAAAATTTGCTCGTTTAAGGTAATTAGAATAAGGGGCAAAATTTCCCGCAAACGCAAATTCCTAGTGCCTTTTCCTGCCTTTTTCGCTATTTTATTTTGCCTTTTTTATAGGTTTTTAGGTCCTAAAAATCCCTTCCCTGGTTATGACCAAAATTGTGTTTTGTAATAATGACTCTGCAGGTATGGGGGCATGTGTCAACGATGAGGGGGTGCATATGGAAATAAGAGACCAGGACAAAATTAATGGAGATGATGTGGATAACACAATCTCGGGCAATTGCAAGAACAGCAGTGAAAATGCTAGATGTTTATGACAAATGTTTCCATCGGGAAATGCTGATACTAGCTTTAGGCAAGTTGTGGAGGATGGTTGACGTACTGAGCAAACGGTATCAAATGAGCATGGAAATAAAGGAGCTGTTTCCAAAAATTAAAATATAGAGTTTATATCAAAAACTGGTGCTAGTGCTGGTAATGAGATTTGGCTATAAGGGGGAAGCTATTGTACTCATGTGCACTTCCAAAAGCGTGAATTTTGAGAATAAAAAGATGAAGAATGGACTTTTCTTATTTGATAATATACGTAAATTAAATGTAGAAGGGATGGATAAGATTCTAGCTGTTGGAAGGTCCTAGTATAAGGTATTTTTCGACTCCATTGACAATGCAAATAAGAGTGTTAGTAACATTAAATTAAAAGAAATGGGAATTAGGGTGTTTATACCCAGAAGTTTTACGGAGACTTATGGAGTAATACGACAGGTGCAAATAGATTTTCTAGAGGATGAAATCTTTAACAACATCTAATCCAATATAAAAGTCAAGTCCGTTTTTCGCATCACTAGACGAGACCCGGACAATAAAGATAGATTTCTACCAACGTTTTCAATTAAGATTGGGTTTGAGGGAAATGCGATCCCAGAAACTATTAAGATTTTTTTCGTTAACTTTAAGGTGTGCCTCTTTTTCCCTACTGCTTCAACTGCGGGAGGTTAGGTCACACCAAATTATCGTGTAGGGCAAAAAGTTATTGAGATTATGACGATAAAGAAGATGTCTAAGCGCGAGGTTTTTGACACTTATAGGGATACACTCTCTAACCACAGATTTTCTGTATTTGTCAATGTTATTGTGGCTTGTTAACATTTTATTTTTAATATTTTTATTGAGCTTTGTACCACGATTGTTTATTAGGAAAAATTGAAAAAGCAACAAAGTCTAAGCGGTAGAAGTTATAGCACTATTTCGGAGATCACCACATCTCCTCATCAGACTTCTTTTTTCTAGACTTCAGCAGGGATCGAACCTGCGAATTCGATGTTCAAAGTCAGAAGCGTTAACCACTGAGCTATGTACATCCCCTATTTTAGAAAATTATGATACAAATTTTCCTATAACAGGTGGGAATGATGAAAATATACAAAATAATGAGTTAATTGTTAATAGAACCAAGAAGAGGTAAAATCAGGTAGTTAAAATTAATGTCAGGCAGGAAAGGGTATTACCTAGCAAAAATAAAAGTACTTAGATAAAGGGAAGTAGTAAACCAGTGTTTGAAAATCCTAAATGGGAGAGTACGTCTGAAATAGAAAAGCTTTTAAATATGTTGGTTGAAAAGTTCAATATTCATTCTGATGAACATATTTTAAAGGTCTTGAGTCTTTTGGTTGAAGAAAATGTTAATGATAGACTTAAAGTAATTTCAAACAATGATGGCAGCAAAGATAGTACAACTAAATTGTCAGAGCCTGAAATCGAATCGTAGCTATATTGACTATTTTCTTGAGCATAAAGGTATCCACACACCTACGCGATTCTGTCGGTGCGAATCTGTTCCGAGAAAAATTACAACAATGCCGACCATAGTTTTAAATGAGGAACCACACGCTTGTACGATTTTGCTGCAGCGACTTATTCGAACATTCACAGTTCTTCTTTTGGTCGTGCCGAAATCGCAGACTGTCGCGTTTTGAGAACGAAAAAGCTCAATAGAAGAATTTTACAATATTAAAACAAAATTGAGCGTAAGAAAACAAAACATATTTGATGTAGAAAAGTCAAAAATTTTATTTTTGTTGAAAAATACTTTTTGTTTGTTTATAAATTGACAGCTTGTGCTGCAATAAAATCGCAGAGATGTGTGCGTACTTGCGTTTTCGAAGCAGTAACGTATGCAGCATCAAAAATGGTGCGGATTCGCTGCCACAGAATCGCATTGGTGTGTGGATGCGTTAACAGTATTGATATTGTTGTTCTCTTTGTTTTTTATTTGGTGGACATTAAGGAAGATCACAAATTAATAGACTTTAATTTAGTTATTAAAAATCGTTTTGATGGTTATGGAGGAGTTGCTATAGGGGGTAGAAAAAATATAAAACTACAGCGCGTAAGATTTTATACTTCACATGATATTTTATCATGTAGTGACAAAAACAACGAATCTTGATCTGTTGATTTGTTCAGCATATTTCCCGCCTAGAACGAATAGGTTTCTCTTTGATTATGATTTGATGAGTAAACTGTTGTTTTTGGATGGTAAGGAAGATGTTCTGTTGCTTGGTGACTTCAAAGCCAAAATGCGGGACTGGGGCTGTAATAAAGATGATCAGATGAGTGGGCTGAGGGCCCAACATGGCGACCGTGGCTGCATGTGCGAGCATACGCGTGTGGGAAAAATCGCTTTGATGACAGCCTGGACGGTAGGCGAGTCCGAAAAGCCACTTTTTGTGCGACACATTACGGTGGATGGGCAAAATTATATATCAGTCTCCCGTAACGGGCAGCAGTATTGCATAAGCCGTGTAAAGGCCCATCCACATACAACTTTGGCGTTGCGTTGGCGCTGGCGTCGCTTTGACAGCAGCGCGCGTAACGCCCGTGCTTGCTACAATGAACGCTTAGCACAGAATACTTTGGTCACTAAATTAACATACTAGCGGCTGATAAATCAAAATTTTTACATCAATAATTGCATTAAAAACTATATTTCTTGCCCGCATTTGATTAAAAATTAAAATTAAATCACATAATTTTGATTATTTAGAACAGCTGACGAACGACGCGCGCGAAAAGTTGAGAGTTGGCCATCTTTCTGCGTTGTGTTGGCGTTGGCGTTGCCCAACTTTGGTTATATGGAGACTTTCATATAAATACATGTATTCATAGTCAGCTGTCGAAGCGACGCCAACGCCAACGCAACGCCAAAGTTGTATGTAAACGGGCCTTAACGCCACACAAAACGGCGCGCTGCATCTACGTAAGCTGTTTTTCCCCACATAATGGGAAGCCCTGTAACCACCAACAGCAGCAGTATTGCATAAGTCACATAACGCCACACAAAACGGTATGTTGTACAGTTCGTGACTGTACAAAAAGTCAGACCTGCTACCACGAACAACGGCGCCCGACGAAACCATGCAGCTGGCAACTGTACAAAACAACTATCGGCAAAATTGAACCGCTAGTTGCACCCACGCCAGCAAAATAGCGGCATACAACCGAACAACACGCAAAAGCATATACAAAGTGACAGCAGCGAGGGAGGCCGCAGCATAGCAGTACAATAACCAACGGGGATAACGGCGGAAGAGCAGACAGATGGGTACAGTACCAGTCAAGGAGTAAGGCTGAGTAATATAAGTTTATCTACCTACATTTTTTTTTATATAAATACTTACATTTCTTTATATACACACCCAGCCAGCAGAGAAACATACTTTTTGCCGACAGTGCAGTTTTCGTACATTTCTCGTATCCGGAAACGTTCAGAAAACGATTTCCATATTGGTTCATTTTTCGTATCCGAAAAATGTCATCATCTTATTTCAAAACAATCCGGCAGGTTCTGCAATTCACTTCCGAGTGAATTTGAGGTAAGTGCGCTTTGAATTCAAGTTGGTAGGGGTTGAAATTCACTCGGAAGTGAATTGCAGAACCTGCCCGAATAGGGGTATTCTCTGCAAACCGTGCAATCCGTGCACCGTGCAAGGGCTTTGCAAGACTCAGAAAATACCCCTAATAATTATAAAATATTCGTTCAACCTGAGCATTTGGAAAAATGTATACGTATTCGCCAGTAGCTGAGTGTGCAGAGAAGTGTGCTACTATTTGTTAGCTTTCAGGAGGTCCCAAGTTCGAATTCCGTCAGAAGCAACACATTAAAATTAGTTATTCAAATTGAAATAATTGCTGAATCTTAAATCTGTTTTTTGTTTGGTTTCCTGTAACTATGAAAAAGTTTCTGCGAAGTTCACAATGAAATCATTTTCAACGAAAATTTTACTCAGACAAATTTCAGGAAAGCAGCCGAAAGCGCATCCGTTTTACAACCATTTTCGATAGTTTTCTGCACATACGTTTCGGATGAACACTTTAGTGGGAGAACTGATCTGAAAAATGTCCGAAAACGGAATCGGAAAACGGATGAAACATCAGGTTTTATACGAAATTGTTTCCATTTTCGGATACGTTTCCGGATATTTTGCTGGCTGGGTATTTCTATATAAATACATTCTAATATTAGTATGCACACTAGTGCACTTTTGAAGTGACATTTTTTATATTAAAAGAAAAACATTAAAGTGAATAAAAAAAAACAAGTAAATCTAAATTTACAACCTATAAACGGAACAGCGAATTTTTCTAACTATTTTCGATCTAAATTTTTTTTTTAAATTTTGCTATAATAGTACAGATGGTACAAACGAGCTTTTGAACTTAAGCCTTTTTCACATTAGATATATAAGCGATTCAAACTTTCTATACTAGATATTTAAGTGATTAAACTTTTCTTTACTAGATATATAAGCGATTTAACTTTTTTAAAATATATAAGTGATTCAATAACTTTTTTTAAGTTTCTTGCCGCCTAATACTTGTAACTCTCTACAAAACCAATTAAGCACAAACTGCTTATTCCAACTCTCCCTCAGAACATAGCTCAAGTGTAATATTTGTTCGTGTACTAAATAAGTAGCACATTTCTCATTTCGCCAGGTCGGTGAACTCAACACGCCTGCGCAAAGTCCTAGGCCCAAGGTTGGTATGTATTAATGTACATTCTTGTCTATATATACATGTAAGCATTTAGATTCTAAAGTTTAGGGTCATTCGTTGTTATGCTCCCAGTTCGATTTCCCCAAATTCTACCTGCACCGCTCGATCACTTGCTCATAATTTCTTGGTGGTCAGGCATACGAACATACATACTCCTTTTGCTTTCACTTCTCTTTCTATATTAATTTTCGTAGACAAAGCGTACCGCATTAGACTCCCACCCATCGCGCTGCGCTCCACCATGATTCAATAAAACAAGCAGTGTTGCCAGAACTTTTTGGGCGAACCGGCTAAATTGGCAAATAAAACCGGCTAAAATGTTTCAACTAAATTTCACATGTTTTATTTAAATAAATCACGAATAAAGACTATTTCTTGGAGAGAAGTTACAAATTCGAGCCGAAAAAAATTTTGCCAGCAAGAATTTGCAATTAGGAAAAACATATGATTGTGGCGCATTTCGTTGAATTTAAAAATTTACAAACTGGAGCGATTTAAAATGAAAAATGTAAGTTAATACTTGTTTACTTAATTAATTTAGTTAATTCCAATGATTTGAAAGGTACTCGGAAAAAAAAGCTGTATTCTTAATCGGAATGCAATCTCAACCAGAGTCGATATAGTAAACCCGACAAAGAAATTCAAACGTATGTTGAAGAAAGTCGGACTGACAAGATATAAAATTCTATACAAATTTCTTTTGTTTGAAATGCAACCGTGGACACTCGCTGGCAGAAAAACTTGCAAATTTGCGTTCGTACAGAAAATTGCAAGTTTCTCTACATGAGAGAAATTTTGGGAGCATTTTTTCTTACTATCTGATATTTTGAGTGATAATTCTCGCTGGATTTTCGACGAACAAACCTATTGTCTTCCCTACAAGGCCTTTTCAGACTGACCGATTCTCAATACACTCAAATAGAAACCAATACACATAAAAAACGCTGTAAAAATTTCCCTTCAATTTTAAGGCAGTAAACCAACGATCTTAAGTTAACATCAACCGAGGCCATATGTTGACAAGTGATACAAAATCACAGTTACACAAAAGAACTGGTCAGATTTTTTAGAAATCCCTTCAATTCTGATGTAAAGTATGATGCCAAAAGACTGCATTTAGATGACCGGTCATATGACCGGCAGGTGTCTCGTAGGATTCCCAGAGAGTTTTGCCTTATCTGGGAAGACAATATCTACATGTAATATTTATTCTGTTTGTTGGCTCTATATCCAATCTAGAGAGTCTTAACAGTGAAACAATTTCTTATTTTCTAAGTTTGCGAATAAATCTTCAGACTTAAAATTATGACATTTATAACAAACAATTTATGGAGTNCAATATCTACATGTAATATTTATTCTGTTTGTTGGCTCTATATCCAATCTAGAGAGTCTTAACAGTGAAACAATTTCTTATTTTCTAAGTTTGCGAATAAATCTTCAGACTTAAAATTATGACATTTATAACAAACAATTTATGGAGTAAACTCCTTCTTCGTTTAAAATAAAAATAAGCAAAATCGGCCCAATTTCATAAAATCCTGCCTGACATGAAAATTTTCTCCACGATAAGGTTAGTAGCCATTTCTAACAGATTTTGGGTCGCTTAGTCAAAACTGGAAACATATATACATATTTGAAATTTAAGAAAACAAGGCAAATAGCAAAATCGGCTAAAAACGGCTAATTTTTTTCTGCAAAACGGCTAACAAATCGGCTGCCGGCTAAATCGAAATTTCTCCTGCTGTTTGCTATCGCAACCGGCTAAATCTAGCCGGAAAACGGCTAAAATGGCAACACTGAACACAAGGTTGGATAACCTGGCAGTTGTCTCGCTCCCGCATTTTGCCTTAGCCTGCTTTCTTTTTTGATTTATAGAAACTACTACCAAAGAACGTAAATCTATATAATTGTAGCGAGTGTGAACATCAGGAGCGTGCCTTCTCTTTTCATCCAATCACAAAACGTATTTGGGTAAAATTGAAAGCACGCACCTGATGTTCCCACTCGTTACAATTATAACGTGTTGTCTCTTCTTATAGATTTACGTTCGTTGCTACTACTAAAAGACAAGGAGAAATATTGTCTTCGTATAAAAAGTTCAACAGGCAACACTGCCGTTAGTTTCATCGATCGTTTCGAGGAAATTGATTTTCTTATTGAGCAAAGCATGCAAAAAAAATCAAAAATAATGGAACTATTTTGAATATAAGAAATAATTTACATATTTCTTTGCAGAGCATCGGAGTTTTTCAAAAACCTGCGTTTTACAGCAAGTGCAGCCGTTACCAATAAGTTTTGCGTGCTAGGATCTCTGTGTGTCCGTCCACAATTGGCTGGTGCAGTCCACTGGGAATTACAGCTGCACCGGTTTATTTGGTGAAGTGCAGCCATTACATACTTACAAGTAAGTATACCACCTCATAAAAGTGAAAGTGTAAATATCAATAAAGCTTTTATCTTGTGCAGGTCAGGATCACTTTGTGTGTCCGTCCACCAAATGTAATTCAATTTAAGATATTGAACATGTAATTTTTAAATGCAACAAATATAATAATTTTTTAAAAAGATTAATTTATGTACATTGTATCAATTGCATATTTACTAGTTGTATATTTCTGCATATCGCACACCGTCTTTAAAAGAGTCACAACTCAAAATAATAAGTTTGTCAGAAAATGCGAAAAACTATTTCTTATTTATATTTCCACATGATAATCATATGGGCTAGGGCGACTTTACCTTAAGNTCGTTTAGTCAATAACACTTTGTGAGCACTTTCGTTATGTTTAAAATTTTACATTTTTGAATGTAAACAAAATTTCAATCAGCTGTTCGTCTAACTTGCAAGTTTCTGCAAATTTTCTGTTCGCGTACTATTTTGGATATTTCTCTCTTGTGAGAGCACAGATGACATTTCGCCGGAATTTGGCAGTTGGTTGGTTTCTGTTGGAGATTTTAAACGAACGCACCTATTATTGAATCATGCGCTCCACAACTCTCGCACAAAAAGCAAACGGAGAAAATAAACATACGCACATATGTATCGCGCTTACACATAATCTCTCCTCTCTATTCGGAATTGACAGTATGAATCAGGGATGTTGCGAATAGTTGCATTCGCATTCGTTAATGATTCATATCATTTTACACATTCGCATTCGCACATTCGCATTCCGAAAATTCGAATTCGCTGATGTGAAAAATATGGCATTCGAAACATCCCTATCATGAATATACGTACATATTTACAAACATATGCACGAGCACATGCGCATACATATGTATCCAAGTCGCTAACAGATCATCCCAATAAAATTTGGTTTTATTATATTTTCGTGGCTGCAGCTTAGCGCGCCTATCCCTAGCCCTTAACAAGCATACAGACGTACATATGTACATATTAGGGCTATTCGCGATTCGGTGCATAAG